CCGAGAGTAATGGTGGACTGACATCGGGTTTGGAGTCTGGTTTTACCTTTAATGAAATCCCAGACAGCTGCTCTAGACTCGGCCGACGAAAAAGGGAAGCGGACGCTGGATCCTGTTCCTTATTGTCATGGCAACAAGTGCTGTTTTCGAGTAATAGAAACCGTAACCATGTACCATCTTACTAAAATAGTTCAACACTTCAGTAGAATCCGTGTATCATTCGATCATTCGTTTTTTTATTTAATATTGAAAGTAGAAAAATGAGAAAACGGCTCGTTTTTCGTTGTTTTGTTTTTTTCCCAAAAAATAAAAACGAAAATTCAGCTTTCATTTTTCGTTCATGGGTGGAAAAATTAATAAACAGCTTGAATATTTGATTTCTACACGTGGGCGGGAATTAAACGCCCCTTTCTGCTGATTGGTCAGCTGAAGATCAAACCGGGCCGTCATCAGTTCTTCTGCAGTACCATGCAGCAGAATAATAGTCCTCTGCAGCTGCAGTTGTACGGATTAATAACCCATTTTATACATTTCATATTTTTCTCATCAAACAGACTAATGAATAGGCTCTTACTGGGGCAGAGTCTAGACAGGGCTTTCTTCTGTGCAGACCAGCGGTTCTTAAAGTGATCGGGGGTCTGAGAAATAATTTGCTATAGCCTAAAGTATTTCCAGACTGTAAAGTCGCTTTATTTTATCATGATACATAGGCCTACTGTGATTTATTCCAAAGTGACTTATATGATGCATTTAACATCAAATAATCTAAATGAAGCCTTTTAAAAGACGAGCATTCACTGTGGTTGATGTTTGTGGCATGCGCCAGAAAGATGCTCAAGGAGACCGAGACGCGCTAAAGCAGCGCATTCTGTTGTTCTCTTTATTTCTCAAAGGCATGACATTTTGTAGTTATTTTGAACGTAACGTTACACAATTAAAAATATACATTTGAAGTGAATGTAAACTGCTTTAAATATGACTGCTGCTTATTTGCTGTGCACTTCAATACTGGTCTGTGCTTGACTGTAGTCGCGTCTGCTTATTGAGTTTATTTAACCCGTCGCAATTTATTGGAACTGTGTGAACTAGAGGCACTACTCAATGTTGTTCTAAAGGCTTATTACTTAATAACACAAAAATGTCCTGCTCGGGCTTGCCAATTTAATGGCAGAGAATGGTGACTTTAGTTTTTTTTTTTGAAGCGGATGCATATCTGTCGTAAAATAATCATATGCATCTCGTGCCGTATATTCCAAGCATTCTGAAGGTATACTGAGTGTTTGGTGAGAAACAAACTGAAATGGCAAGTTGTTATATTTTATGAAACTCTTGCATTGCAGAGCGAGTGCGCAACAGCTCATGCAAGTGCATATCCTTTTGAGATATCAATTATAATCAATTTTAATAAAACACAAGACTACATTATATAACTCTAACAGTAGGCTATTTAATATCTGTTGTTCTCCGGTTGTCAGTCAAAATGACAGTTCTTGCGTGAACATAGGCCTGTATATACCCAAGCCAATTTATTATTCTTTCCTTTTTGTCTTGGTGTTTAAAATATTTATTTTGAAACTAATTAATTAATTAATTAAACAAACAGACTTACTGGGTGAGCAGGGTAGGCTAAGACAGCTGTCATATCATACCCTGCCATGCCCAGCTGATGCAAAGAATATAATTTATATCTACACAGAAGAAAACCCTGTCTAGAATCTGCCAAGGTATGAGTTGTTTCAAGCTATTCATTAGCCTGTTTGTTTGATGAAAAAAGACTAAATGTAGTTGCAATAAATGCGTTAAGAATCCATACAACTGCAGCAGCGGAGGACTATTATTCTGCTGCATGGTACTGCAGAAGAACTGATGACGGCATGGCTTGATCTTCGGCTGACCAATCAGCAGAAAGGGGCGTTTAATTCCCGCCCACGTGTAGAAATTGAATATTCAAGCTGTTTATTCATTTTTCTACCCCTGACCGAAAAATTAAAATTTAAGCTGAATTCTCGTTTTTTGTTTTTGAAAAAAACAAAAATGCGAAAAAGGAGCCGTTTTCTCATTTTTCTACTTTCAATATTAAATCAAAAAACGAATGATCGAATGATACACGGATTGAGTAGGGCTGTTCGATTTCGAAATTTAATTTATTTTATTTTATTAAATGTGTGTATATATATATATATAGTATTTATTGAGTTTTTACTTTATCTTTACTTTGTCATTTAGCAGACGCTTTTATCCAAAGCGACTTACAAATAAGAAAAAGTAATTAAAACTAAAAGCTATAACTCTATAAATACTATATATATACACATTTAATAAAATTAATTAAATAAAAATGACAAATGCATACATTTCAAAACTAAACATTTAAATGAAAAATAAAATAAAATAAAGATTTTTAGATTGAAGGAATCTATAATCTCACCATGACTGCAGGATAAAGGTCATAGAAAGTATTCTTCTCATATTATGAAGCTTTATTTGTAAAAAAAAAAAAAAAAAAAAAAAAAAAAAAATAAAAAAAAAAAAATTTTA